TGAATTGGGGGGGGGGGGGGGGCAGTACTGAGCTGTGGCCCCCCCTCCACAGTCATCCCCTACAGGATGATCACTTCACTGGGTACCGAGTGCCACCTGAAACAGCCAATCGCTACCTGCTCCCTCCCAACACATCACAGTTTGAGCTGGACCCCCTTTTGCCTTCAGAACTGCCTTAAGTCCTTGTGGCACAGATTCGACAAGGTGCTTGAAACATTCCTCAGGGACCTTGGTCCATATTGACATGGCAACAAATCTGTCAAAGGGATGGACATGATCAGCAACAATACACAGGTAGCTGTGGCATCTACACTCATCTGGCAGCGTTTTCCCAATGTTCCCGATTTCAGTGAGCCTGTGGCCAATGTAGCCTCAGTCTCCTGTTCTTAGCTGACAGGAGCGGCACCCGCTGAGGTCTTCTGCTGCTGTAGCCCATCTGCTTCAAGGTTCAACATGTCGTGCATACAGAGATGCTCTTCTGCATACCTTGGTTGTAGTGACTGGTTATTTGAGTTACTGTTGCCTTTCTATCAGCTTGAACCAGTCTGGCCAGTCTTCTCTGACCTCTGCCAAGGCACTGTCACCCAGAGAACTTCTGCTTACTGGATGTCGTTTCTTTTTCAGCCCATTCTCTGTAAACCTCAGAGATGGTTGTGCATGAAAATCCCAGCAGATCAGCAGTTTCTGAAATACTCACACAAGCCCGTCTGGCACCAACAGTCACGCCACATTCAAAGTCACTTAAATCACGTTTGTTTCCCATTCTGGTATTTGACGTGAACATTAACTGAAGCTGGTGACCCGTACCTGCATGATTTTATACACTGTGCTGCTGACATATGATTGGCTGTTTAGATATTTGCTTCAGTGAGAAGCTGAACTGGTGTAGAGTATGTATACATACCTGAATAAAAGGACGGATGACAGTTAGAAAATCTCCCCTCCCCTTTTCACTGCCCCTGACATGATCTGCAGACTCAAACTTCACGGAATCCAAGCCAAAGAGGCAGCCAGTTAATCACAAATCCGGCACCAAAATAAGGCACAAATAGCAGGGCGAATCAGTGCAGAAATCACAGGCGACTACACACCATGAGGCTGATCTGTGACTGAAGAACTTTTACTTGTGACCCCATTAGTTGGGTAGTTACATGCGTAAGTGACATGACGTCTGCCTGGACAGCAGGCTGGTTGGTTCTAGAAATGCAGATCAAAAAAATCCAGCTGAACATGAAGAATAATGCCCATGATCAGGCTGGGAACATAAATCTTCAAGGAGAATTACTGCCTGGGAAACATGTCCATTCAATAACAGTCTACCTATGTGTGATATGTAGGTACGTACCTGCTCTAAAAGAAAAAAACATTATTCTAGCTAAAATGATTCTGCTGGAGGATGGGCTGAATATAAATGTGCAATAACAGTGTTCACTTCACTCTCTGAACAAATCTACATGAAAAGGCCCAATTCATGCCGCAGCACGACAGAAAACTGCATGAATTTTATTTATGGCCTAGTTAGAAATGACTGATTTGGGACAAAAAAGTGAATGAATGTGTAGCAGAATAGAAATGAATGGAATAAGTATGTAAAGGTCTGTAGCTTTGGTATTGTAAATGGATCGCTGTTTACGTGACTCACCGTGTTTTATTCATTTTTATGATGGTAATGGACAGAATCATTCATTCAAATTTCTCATTCCGATATTTAGTGTTCCACAGCAAAAGAAACAGAACTTCTGTTTTGCAAATGAAAATATATATAAGGGGCATCAGAAGCATTTTGAATGTGTGCGTGTGTGTGTGTGTGTGGGGGGGGGGGATACTGGAAAACAGCGCTGGGTGAACTAATATTTTATGTTAAATGTAGGGGGGTCCAAACGAATAATTATGAAATGTGAGGGAGACACATCCCCCTCAGATTTAATGCCGGCGATGCCCATGCTATATATACAGTGTGTTGTGTAGATATATATTTATACAGTCAATTATTCGTTATGCTCGCTGCCCAATGCATTTTTTGCACATGTGCAATGAAACATTTCGAGTGTTTCGTTGATTCTTTCTTAATTCCCACCGGCAATGGAGGTGCGTCACGCTTAATAGTGTCCGCCACTAGATGGCATGTTCCACTCAACATCTCTTGGTGCCTTGGATATTTACACACTTTTCTTGTTTTTATAGTTAATCTTTGCTAAATTAGTTATTATAACAACTAACTCTAGCTGGAAAGAATCCCAAATGAAACACAAATATCATATATATCTTATTTAAGCACCACTAAATAATGTAAGAAAAATGCCTGCAAGTTGTTACATCAAGTCAGTGAGTTATTGAAGGAGCATGGAATATATTTATTACAATGTTCAAGGTGCAAGAATGTATCTTATAGGCAAGTAAACCACAGCCAACAAAAGATAACAGAAATGTTTTGAATGCTGAATAAGGCTGGAGGGTAGAATCTGATGTAAACAGGGAGCAATTGTTTTAATGTTTATGTGGGAAACAAATGTCATTGTTTGAAATACCAGAGGGAACAATCATTTTCAAATGAATAATAATTATTCAATTATTGAACAATTCAAGTTTTATATTGTATAGAAATCTTTAAAATGTTTATTTCAAAGCAAATTATTATATTAATTGAAAATAAATTATTAAAAGCTAAGCACCATGAGTAATGCTACACAGGGCTGGTGTGTAGGTTAGTAGGTGGGGGGTCTGGTCCCCATTCTCAGATGGTTGTGTGTTCCATTCCCAGTGGGTTGTGTGTTCCATTCTCAGAGGGTCATGTGTTCCATTCCCAGAGGGCTGTGGGTTCCACTCCCAGTAGGTTGTGTGTTCCATTCCCAGATGGTTGTGTGTTCCATTCCCAGTGGGTTGTGTGTTCCATTCCTAGAGGGTTGTGGGTTTTTCTGAGACACTACTCCAGGACTGCTGGAAGCATGCTTTCACCTGTATATATGCCTGTCACTCTCATGGAGAGTAAAAGCTGTAAAAACTGCCCAATTTCCCTGCAGGGATAAATAATGTGTTTTAGGTGTTTTTTTCAATATATGGAACATTCCATTTTGGGGAAATAAACAGAACACACTACTGGCTGTGGGTGCAGATCAGGGTCTCGCCTTCTGTTTGGATCTTTCAGCCTTTTAAAGGGACATTGGAATATCGGTCAGGCTGTGCGGCTGCTGCTTTGGCGTTTGTCCAGCACGACCCACCGTGAAGCCATGTTTTCTCTCTGAAAACTTATGACAGCCCCAGCCATCGACACAGGAATCAGGAGGACCAGAGTGTACATTCAGAAGGGCCATTTGATTATTTACCAGTTATATAGCTTCATGTTTTGCTGTTCATTCATTTTCTGCTTTTGAATAGTGGTTCTCAGTCAGAGATCAATTAAGAATGTAAGAATAAAATAACAGGATCTCAAGTAAACAACTACAACAATAACAACAACAACAACAATAATAATAATTCATAGACCTACAGTATAGCTATTTATGTGTCTGTGGTTATGAATACTAAGTGTGATGACGAATATGAATATTTATTGAGTATGAATTACTACACTGGCAAATATGGTTTGAGGATATGTGTAAATACATGTAAGATACGGCTTTACACTTTGTATGCCTGTAAATTGGCAGTTATGTTACACTGCGACCTGCACATCAGTTAGTGATGTCACTTAATCTTGATGGTCTGCGTGTTCAAGGAATTTTGTCGTTATTCAAAGGTTATAATGTTCATCTAACGTTCCTGTGACGCTCATTGTGTGTGCTGCGTAATTAATAACAATCTAGCAAAACCGAAATGGTATCTCCTCATCGGGAGTATTTGAGGTCTCTCTCCGTAGAATGTATATACCTACTTCAGTTTTACAATGAATTTGAGTGCAAAAACATGATTCTGTATTGCGGACATGATATCATATTTACAGCATAGAAACATGCATATGGCCAGAGCGGTTTGTGATAATGACACAGAGAGGTCTCTGCTTTGAAAGGTAGACCAGTAGCCTACTCTATTGGAAGTGGAGAACCTGGTGAAAATGGGAAAGGAAAGTCATGGCAGGAGCTGAAACGAGCGCACGGGGCTGCTGCTCTTCTCGGGGCTGCGGTACAGGTGGGCATTTTGTGCCAACTTTCATCAAGGAGCCAATTACTCTTTGCGGGGCAGGGAATCGTTCCGCCTGGACTGCGAGACAAAGCCTTTCGGAACCGCTTCACATATTTTGTAAGGGGGTGTTGCAGTTAATTCACGCTTACATGTAGGTTACTGTATTTTTCAAGTGAAACATTTTGTGGTGAAAGAGGCTGATGATTATCGATGGGAACGACGGCTGGTAGAAAAAGACCATATAGAGAGTGACCTCTAGAAAGGGATACTGAGCACTGGGAACCATCTCCGCTGGAGGTGCTGGTGGTGGCCGACAGAAGAGACAAACTGGTCGGGGGAGGACAGGTGTACATGCAGTGCATGCTGTGGTATACCACGTAAATCTGATAAGGTTACTGGCTTAAACCAAACCGTACTTAAATGGTATAACGCGTTAATAAAATATAAATGATCAGAGTAAAATAAATATAAATATAGGCTACGTGAATAATAAAAAACTATCTGTTTGGCCCATAATATAAACCGTTATGTTATAATAAAAACGCCATTATGCTCGTTTATGTATGGAGCTTTGCGTTAATGAAATTCATTTTCATGTTATTATGATACATACATGCTTTGTAACAGCATTTATCGAATAGTGGGTGCACTAAGCCACATATTGAGAATTATTTTCAATTATCGACGGAAATAAACAATCAATCCCTGTAACAAGTTAATATTTATAATACGCACACAACGACGAGTTCAAATGTCACAACACTCGAGCCATCAAAACACGAGGGCACGCTGCATTTTCAGGTGACATTTTCCTTTAAGATGATGTAAGACTTTGTTCCCCTGTACGGTTTCTCCCCTGGCCGCTGAGGCAGCATCTAAGCGTGTGCGCGGTGCCGTCCGGAGCAGCTCCCGGAAAAGGCTCCGCTCCTCGGTTAGCGGCGCTATTACGCACCGGCCACTTCCAGCTTCGCATCAGACGGCAGGAGATGAGGAGTTAAGCGCCATCGAGGCGCTTTGTAGGAGTGCATCTCGGCGGAAACATGTGAAGTGTCCTAAATCAATCTGCTTATTTGGGTGTGTATTTATATATACATCGTCACACCTGATATATTCCTCTGAAGTTAAACTAGGAACACTCGAGATCAACGAACACGATTGTGCTTCAAAGAAGTTGGAAATATATCTCCAAACAGCAATGATTTCCACTTGGACTTCTGAAGTTGCTGATAAACTTAATTTTATTCGCAGATATGGATTGATGTGAAATCAATTGATTTTGCCGAGGTGAGAATCTCGTTACAATATATATCTTTGCGGGTCATGTTTTACATAAGGACTGATAACCTTAGCATTTCATTGCACACGATGTCTTTAAACTACGACTTCGCAATGGGAAATTGTCGTTTAATTGCTACCCTCCCCCTTCTTTGTCGTACTGATTAGGATGTTCTCGCAGGCTGTAGAGGGGCAGTAATTGATATAATATTTTAAGAAAGCATCGATGTTTTGCCGCTCGTAAATAATTTAGTGAATATCCCAGATTTCTCCATTGCCCCCATCTATTAGTCCCTCTGATATTTTGGAAGCTGCATGCAGACAGCTGCTTTGGTTTGGTGATGGAGTACTTACTGTAGGGGTAGGTGGATATACGCTACGAAAATTGCCACATACTGCAGGTCGACATTCAGGCTTCGGGATCGTCAGCTTTAACTTCTGCATCTAGTTTCACTCGATTTTTTTCTTGCAGTTACAGGACCAGTCGTCGATCGCATTAAGAAAACAGGATATCATAAAGAAACTTTCTGCACAGCCACCAGACGCCGGTGCGATTTTCGTGTGCATGACTGAAACGATGGCACTGAGTGGGAACTGTAGGACTTACCCTAATGCCAAGGAGCAGGGGACTGTCCAGCCCGCTTTCCCCGATGTTATAGAGCTGAATGTCGGGGGGCAGGTCTACTATACTCGACATGCCACATTAATCAGTATTCCCAATTCCTTACTGGGAAAAATATTCTCTCCCAAGAAAGATGCATCCAACGACCTGGCACGGGACCCTAAGGGACGCTACTTCATCGACAGAGATGGCTTTTTATTTCGATACGTATTGGACTACCTCAGAGACAAGCAGGTCGTGCTGCCCGATCACTTTCCGGAGAAGGGGAGACTGAAGAGGGAGGCGGAATACTTTCAGTTGCCGGAGCTGGTGAAGATTTTAACCCCCGACGACCTGAAACAAAGTCCAGACGACTATTGTCACAGTGACTTAGAAGACGCTTCCCAAGGGAGTGACCAGAGGACATGCCCCCCGGCATCAATAGTGCCAGCCAGCAGGAAGTATGGCTTCATCACGGTCGGGTACCGAGGATCGTGTACGATGGGGAGGGAGAGCCAGAGCGACGCCAAGTTTAGGAGGGTGCCGAGGATTTTGGTCTGTGGAAGGATCGCTTTAGTGAAAGAGGTCTTCGGGGAAGCTTTAAACGAGAGCCGTGACCCGGACCGGCCCCCCGAGCGGTACACGTCCCGCTTTTACCTTAAGTTCAAACACCTGGAGAGAGCCTTTGACATGCTGTCCGAGTGCGGATTCCAGATGGTGGCCTGTAATTCGTCGGTGACGGCATCGTTTGTCACCCAATATACCGATGACAAGATCTGGTCCAGTTACACGGAATATGTCTTCTATCGTAAGTCCATCATCATTCTCTTCCCCGCCATATCCAGAACCCGAATGGAAGTCAGACATGCTGATGTCATCGTTATTTATTATTCGGTGGCTGTGTAAAGTTGATTGCCCCATATTTGTAAGATTTGCGCAAGGGATGCGCATGCGGTGGATGGGCAGTAGTTCATCAATCGGTGTGCTTCTATAAGTGACCACCAGGAGGCGTCCTCGGTACGCTCATGGTCCGGGACGCCCATACCTCCCCCCCCCCCCACGCATTGAATCGCTCGGAGCATCTTCGGCGATCGTAGGTTTCCTCTGGAGATTGCGTGCGTGCCAGAGATGCATGGAAATTAAAATGCAGGGTGTGATCTGTCCATTCACAGATACGTCAGGAGTGTTACTACTGTATGAGGACCGGCTTACTGCCGTCTGCCAGTCAAACACGTGCTTGTGTGTGTGTGTGTGTGTGTCTGCATTAGGTTTACGTTACATTGTGGGGACCACAAAGCTGGCCAGCGTGGCTTAAACGTTTCTCTTGATGCGCAAACAGGCACCGGCTGGATTTTGAAAGGTGTTACATGTTTCATTAGAGACTTTCATCTTCAAAACCTCTGAGCTGATTTTGACATTGTGGGGACTATTTTCCATATCCCCACAAAGATCTGTGATTGAAATCAAAAAACTAAAAATGCCAAATGTCTTGTATTTTGTTTGGATACTTATGGTTAAGGTTGTCATGTTGGGATTAGAGTTTCCCCCCATTGAAATGAATGAACAATCCCCACAAAGATATGAGTAAAGGTCTCAGTGTGTGTATGTGTGTGTGTGTGTGTGGGTGTGTGTACATGTATATTTACATGGGCACCTCATTTAAAATCTAAATCTTAAAATATTTGTATAAATTAAATCATCAGTGCATTACTGGAACACTTAGGTAATGAGACTGTTGGCACCAGTGGCTGTTTTGGTCAGTAATGGCCACTGATGAATGATCTTGTGCTGCATATGAAGGCGGCTGCTTGGCCACGGCCGGACATCCGCGGTTATTTCTTATTTTGTCTGCAGTGGACACAGATAAATGGGAATCTGCCATTGGTCTGAACGCGAGCTCCATTTCCTGCCTTCCTGACAGTGCGCTTCTTAAGCTTATATCTGTCTAGCTGGGCTGGGTGGGCGTCTGTGGTAATGGAAACTGGGAGAAGCTCCCGTGGGCTTTATGGTCCAGCAGAGGAGATGGAGGACCATGAGAGAGGGACAGCTGTGGAGAAGCGGCCCCCCCTTTCCACATATTAGCCTAATTAAGAAAGAACAGTGAGTAACAGCAGAGTCGGGTCCCTGTTTGTTAGCGAATGGAGTAATTTGGCTGGAAATGATAACTTAATTGCTGGCTTCACCCAAATACGCACTTTGGTGCAAATAGAACGGGGGCGTGTCGGTGTCACCGTGGGCGTGTCGTTAGAGCTACGCGGCGATCCTGTCCCTCCCCGGCCAGCATGGCTTAAACGTCTGTTTGTGATGAGCAAACAGGTGACGGCTGGATTTGGGAAGGGGTGACATGTTTCATTAGAGACTTTCATCTGCAAGACCTTTGAGCTGATTTGTTTATGCAAACGAACAGAAAAATAGGGCAAAGATGTTTCCAAGTTCTTGGTGCCGTTCAAGGCCATTTTACTCTTAGTACTCAGTCGTTGCTCCTCAAATCATCTAGTACATATGCATACACTCTGTGGGCATTTGGTTCGGTACAAATAGCTGGTACCAGGTAGACCAACTTTTGCCTCCAGAACTACTTCAAGGATACATAGTTTGTGTGCCCAGTGTGTGTTCGGCCTTTGCACCAGCACTGTTGGACTAAGCTGTTGTTTTTGCACTTGTGGCCTTCCTGCTAGCTTTAACAGATCCGGCCGTTCTCCTCTGATCCCTCTCGTTAACACAAAGTTCTCACTGCCCAGGATTGGATGTTTTTTCTTTATCGCACCATCCTCTGCAAACCCCAGAGGCTGCAGTGTGTGGAAATGCCCGGAAGGCGGCTGTTCCTCAGACCCGAACCCAGCACGTCTGGCACCCGCGTCACAGCCCATCTGATTGGATCGTTAGATGACGTGTTGCCGCCTTTCTGATGCTCAGCCGCACTGTGAGGGACCTGCTGACCCCGTCTGTCTGCTCTGCGCATTCAGTTGTCTGGAGGATCAGCCTCAGCTAGATGTACCGAATTAATTGGCCACTGTGTGAAATCACAAGCTGCATTGTTAGTGATGTGGTAATAATCAGATAAACCAATCTGACATTATTGGCAGGAATGAGTCGCTTCATTTTGTTTATCATCCACCTATCAGCTTCTTTGATTACAAAGAATGCATGAGGTTTGCTGTCATGGATTCTCCTGATTGGCTGTCCCGGTCCGTTACGGTTCTGCCTAAGACAGACCGGGTACCGTATGTGCCATTAAAAGCACTCTGTTCCTCCCCCAAACAGCCGCCCTTGGGAGTGTAACGGGAATGTGACCCGGCTGATTTCTGCTCCCTTGCTCTCTTTGTTTTTAGAAGTTCATGACATTCTCTGATAAAACCTTTATAGAGCGACGTGAAGACGCATGGCAGACCTGTGGGTTCTGGGCTGTACGTTCCAGGTGGACCGAAACCCATCTGCATTTGGGATGCAGGTTCGGGGAAGTTTGACTGATTAGCAGAAGATGGCTTGAAGCCCGTGCCCACCTGTGCTGGTCTGTGCCTCTTGGAGCCCCTCCCCCCCGCCCCCCCGCTGCTGACCATGCTGCAGAATGCTAAGCAGGGAAGCTAGCCTGCTTCCTGAAGGACGTGTGACTAAATGAGGTGGATGGAGGGGGTGACACTGTGCCGCTGCCCTGTCACGCTCCCAGGCTCTCGGTGGCCGGCCCTGGGTCGCCTTTTCAGGCTCTGCTGTTCCCATTCCACTGTAGCACCCTGAACAATCAACAGCCTGTATAGTCACTCACCGAGCTACTGCACGCCCGGAGTGATTTATAATTAATCACTGTGCCGCGATGGCCAGCGGACGCAGTGCAGTGCGTTGTGAATCACGCTGTAATCTTGTGCTGGACAAGCTGTATCCTCCAGGGACGAGGGACGTTGGATCTGGGCCTGCGGGCCCGTGGGCGCGGTGCGTACGACCCTCCTGGCGGTTCCTGGTGCCCAAAAGTGGGCTGCAGTGTTTTGGAGATTGTGAATCTAGACAGGCGGTACTGCATGGGTTTTAGGAGCTGACAGCATGGCGCACTGTCACCCGTGAGCATCAGGAAAGAGGCTGTGCTTGAGAACAGGGGACTCCCGCTGCAATAGTGTGACACATCCTCTGGGGGGAGCCTCCGGGTTCTGACAGCCTCATTCATGCTCGGCAGCTGAAACTGAGCAGAGGGGGGGGGGGCTGAAGCTAATGTCACCTGGTAACAGGCTCCCTGATACCTGCCATGGAAGCATACAGGCGTGAGCGTGAGGTGACGTCATGCAGGGATCATCCGGTAAAATCCCATTTCCAATGTCCATCACAAGTAAGCTAAAGCATTGCTAAACAGCCTGTGACACATAAAACCTGTTTACAGTTTTATTGTAAATTGTCACCACTTTAAAGTGTTATAATGCAAAACCATTTGAATGAAAAGCTCTGAATTACATCCCAACTTTCTCAAAAGAAATTTTGCATTGCAGCTTATTATAACAAGGCAGCAGTTTATACTGTCATGTGGAGTCATGCTGCGAGAAAGACAAATAAAACCATGCAGATGCTGTGTGCTGTCCGTCCTGCAGCCGTCTCCTGCTCCGGGGTCAGCGGGGTTCGTCTGCGCTGCTCTGTGGCTGTTATGCTGCTCTGGGGTCAGCGGGGTTCATCTGCGCTGCTCTGTGGCTGTTATGCTGCTCGGGGAAGATGAGCCGTCCTTTCGGTCAAAGCTGAGTGTCACCTTTGAAGTCAGAAGCCCTGGAATGATTATCACAGATGTTATTTTCTGGCTCATTGTAACTTCTGCTGAATGATCACACAGATTGTCTCAAGCAAGTCAAGCAGAGAATTAGTTCTATAGGACGAATTTGCAAACAAGCTTTGTAAATAATGGTAAATATTGATCTCACAATATTGTTAATTGCAGTGCGGGGTCACTTAATGGGTAATACTGTTGCCTCGCACCTCCAGGTGCGTGACGATAAAATGCAACAGTTCCCGATAATCACTGTATGTTACATTTCCGGATGATAGGGGGATTTTGGCCAAACCAAAAACTATGGATTTTACACAGGATGTAGCTCTTAACTGAGGTTGAAGTTAAAACAGAAGGGATGTTAAACTGTCAGCCCACTGCAATGCCCCTTTTTACACTCACACTGCACCACACGATGCCAGAGCAGTGCCCTCAGCTTCGCTCACTGCAAGGCCCCTTTTCACTCACACACTGCACCACACGATGCCAGAGCAGTGCCCTCAGCTTCGCTCACTGCAAGGCCCCTTTTCACTCACACACTGCACCACACGATGCCAGAGCAG